ACCAGGGCATTTGCAACCTTTTTGAAAAAGAAAGTAACCAATTCCTGTTTTACTGTAGTCTGTTGAAAGGCATGTCAGTTTTTAGTCTTGATTACTCACTCTAACTCCTCAAAAATTTTATCAAGTGTTTTATCCTAATAAAATTTTGGGTTCTTTGAGCACAGTAATTCCTGGAAAGGGGCCCATCACCTCAGCTTGTGCGAATGCATAAGTTACCTGATTCACCAGTCCAAATCTGGACCTGACACTCGTGATACTTTTGGGAGTAGGTAAATGGAGTCATTTTCTTATATTGGCTGTTATTAAGAACTCGGCAGACTATACCTTGTTCTCTGCAAAAATTTGTCAGGGTTAAACACAATCCCATTCTTCCCACAGAATTTCAAAAAATGTCCACTGTAATATCATCAAACTGCTGGGTATATCCATCTCCAGATGTGTGAAATACCTGAGGAGCACAAAGATATCTGTACTGGTCTCATTCAGTGATAAATATAGTGGCATTTTATGCAGCTAGGGAAAGCAGTAAGCCGTGGTACTCATTCAATGTGTCCAGAACTGCTTTTCCTGTCTGAGTCAGTACAATGGAGACCTGATTAACTGGAGATGGTGTGTGACAGGTTTCCACTTATAGTGGCAACATTCAGTTCTTGTAGGTCCACTGTGCATCTAGGGGATCTGTCTTTTTTCGTTGCGACGACCATCCTTGAGCATCAGGTTGTAGGAGTGCCCAGTGGCACAGGTTCAGTTATACCAAATCCAATGTTTTGATTGAGGTCTTGTTTTACTCTCTTCTTCTTGGTGAGAGACAGGGATTGGTGTGTGAACATCAGGGACAAGGTAATGTCCAGCATCTTTCCTGTCATGATCTGTAAGTGATGGTGTGGGCATGTATTAAATGTGTGGACTTGAAATGGTCACATATCCATCATTCCAGTAAGTGTCTGTTGGTTTTCGTTGGAAGGAATGGGATGGTACTAGACATCGCTGCAATGGGTTTTCTGTGTAGACATATGCATAGGGCATTTTCCTTTGCATCCTTCAACAAGTTGAGCTATGATGTCTGGACTGGGGTATCAAGTGACAACAGATGTAGGACTTTCAGGGCAAATTTTGATAAGTAAAAACCAGATGTGTAGTTTGACACATACACCACCTGTTGTGTCTCCCTCAAGCCAATTCTTATATGAACACCCCTTTATATGAAGTTGGTTGTCTCTGATGCCATGTATTCAATGACTAGTTGGCACAAGATACTCATCTGGGCACCTGAATAGTTTTAATATTTCTGTTCCACTTGAACAAGTTTGAGCCCCTGTATTGGTGAATGTGAGGATGCAATAACTACAATGGCTAACTGAATCAGTTTGTGTGCATTCAAATGAAGCATGGGTTTGATGTATTAGTGTCCCTTCTATTGTCGGTGATGGTGGTGGATCTGGGACATCTCCTCCAAATTGCTTTCCATTTCATTCAAGATGTGGCAGCACAGGTTTTACTGCTCCATTTTGATCTGCCAGCAGACAGGGAGAACTTTCAGACTAGTGTTTAAGAAAATGAATGAATCACATCCTGTCTTGCACCTTGTGAGTCTATTCATGGTTCCAATTTCAATTTTAGTAGATTTCTAGCATACCTTTTTATGTGACCCCTAATCCTGCAATTACAACATACCAGTTTAGCTGCTGGGAAATCTCTCCTACTAATTGATCTACCTGGGTGGAATGTCTTCCCACAACCCACACAAGGATTCCTATTCTGCTAAGAAGTGGATGAATTAGTTCTTCAGGGTTATCAAAGCACATGATGCTCATAGCCAGATATCTGTTGGAGAGCCTGAGCATGTACACCCTGGCTAAGAACAAAAATTGCCCGAACCCCTGCAACCACTGGTTGCTCTTCAATGAGAAGGTGCAGCCTTGACCAGGGCAACTCTCATTTTAAATTTCCTCACTTGCAACTCTGTCCTTTAAAAGAATTGCCCCTGTGTGCACTGCCCAAAGACAGAGACACAATTGAGAGATGATAAATAATGATACAAACCACTCAAGGGAGAAGTTGATTTACTTGAAACCCCCCCCCCACTGTGACACAAGGTCAGTTTTTAATGTGGGAACTCGAGTGTCTTCACTCAGGCCACTGGTCTTAGTTGGTCATAGCATGTCTAAGCTAGTCCACGCTGGTCAGAGCTGGTCTAAGCTAGTCATAGCCTTGATACTACCAGCACAGGGACAGATCCCTTTAACCAGCAAGTATCAGAATGTGTATACTGCTGCAGTTGATTTACTTGAATTTTACTTGACTTTCAGCAAGTTAGAATCTATCTGTAAAACTTTCCTTAATAAGCCAATTTATGAATGAAATGTTCATTTAAAATTTTTGTTACAAAGATTTCAAGTAGTGAATATATTTTACTTTGTGAAACAATAGTGAGTGGGCAAAGCCTGCTAGTGTTTCATATGCTAAAGTATATTTTATTATCTAAAACTGTAAAATCATCAAAGAAAGCAATATTTTACTTCGTTTTTTTTTTTAAAGAAATTTACAAAGACATCTGTACAGTTCATCAAGTATTTTTAGTAGCAGTTTATTTCTGAGGAATTATCTTTAAAATATATACAAATCAACATTCAAAGTTGAATAATTACTTGCTGATTTCATCCAATTAAGGAGGATTATTCACAAGAAGAAAGAAAAATGACCTAATGTTTTTAGAATGGAATTATTTTTTATATTGTTTTTCTCATGTCATTTTCCATAAGTTTTAAAGATGAATTTTTAAAAATTGTTTATATGTTGTAGCAATTTTTTGAAAATATGAACAATTTACTTAAGAAAATTCTCCCAAATTTAAAATAATAATTATGAAAACTAGCACAGCCTTTTTTTAATAACATGTTCCTTCAGGAAAGTAAATAGGTGATCATGGTTCTTCACGGATTCCTTTTCTTCATCATCTGTGAATTGCTATGATTTCTCAACAAAGATAGCCAAGTGATTTCCTATGGCTACCATGGTTTGAGATTCAGAATAGTCATCCTAGACTGGAATGCCACTGAAGTCTATTTACTATACTTTTTAATTCAAGGATGTTTGTGCAAAGTGAATGCAACAGACGAAGCTATATATTTATATTTTCAACTGGTTTTGAAATTTTTTGATAATGCAGAATAATGTACTGGTTCATATCTTATATGTTATTATTTATCATTTGCTGAAAATATAACTGAAGGTCACTGAATGCTTAGTGAAAAACTTGATATAATGAAAAATTTGAAGCAATCTCTTATAGACTTGTAGAAATACCTCCATATTAAAAAAAAAATCTATGAAAATGAAATTAGTTGAAAATAACAATTAGTGATCACCTTATTTTGTTAATATAAACAAAATTTCTTATTGTCAATGGTTGTTAATTGATTAACCATACATGATAGGAATTTCCATCATTGTGACTCAATGGTTCAACTGTAGATAAAAGTTTTCTCTACAGTTTATGGCTGAATAGAAATAAATATTGAAAAACACTTTGAGATAAAAATCCTGTTATATAATAATAAAGTTATCTTTTATATAAAAATTGGTGTAATATCAATTTTTGAAAAATATCATGAAATCACTTGGTAACTGAAATAAGGAATTACTTTCATATTCTTTTTATGTTTTTGTACTTATTAATTGTTATTAATGGCTAAAAATTAGTTAGATTTATCTAGTAGTTTCAATTACATAGTATCAGTTTTTCTCTTTGAATTCATCTACCAATTCAATACAACTTCAAATTACTTCAACTATGATCTTGATTGTGTATTAAAAGGATTTGTAAGGTAAAGGATGAAAAGAGATAATGTCAAGTCTCTTATCCTTTCTTTTACAAGTATTTAATGGTACAAATGAAAAAACACAAGACTCTTACTCTGATGTGAATTTTGAAAGAAATTTCCATTTATTAAATGACAAAAAAGTAATAATACAGAATACAAAATTTACAAAACAAGCTTGCACAAAATTTTTCCTTTATGTGCCAAACACTGAGTCAAAATAACAATTCAAAATAAAATTCTGTTGGCCTCTGAAAAAATGACTATTATTACCAATAAAATATTCACTTTGATACATTCAAGAAGATTTGAGAAAGAAGACTATGTTCTTTTTTAAACTGAAGTTAAGAAATGAGACAAATCTCAGTTTTATAATTAGGGTTAATACCTCAAATTTTGTAAGAGATTTTCCCAGGTTTGTGCAACAACAGAAAGACATTTGTATATCTCTCTAAATTTGTAGAATCTTTTTCTTCTTTCTGCTTCTCCCCTTTGTTCTTTTTCTCCTTCAATCAACTCTGAGAAACAGCCAGCATTTATCACCTGTGAAAGCCAAAGCCTTTTTCTTTAGTACAGCTTTGTTTAGTAGCTTCTGGTCCTTAAACCAGACTCTTTTTATAGCCATGAAATAGGATCCAAATGGAATCAAAAATTGATTCCCGGGGATGGGGGCTTGTAACTTCCTATCCAAATTGGTTTAAAAGTCCCATAAAATATCTCTTTAAACTATTAAACCACATCTGTTTGCAAACTTTATTTTGGTGGCTTTTCAGACCATCACTCTTGAGCTTTATTTTTTACAAATTTTTTATAAACAAAATTTTATATTTGTATCTTTTTATAAACCATCAGGCTTCATTTTAGCATTTTTTACAGACTTGAGCTACATATATATGAAGTTTTATACATCAAATTAAATATATTCAAGCAATTTTTACAAACTGTTTGGCTTTCTTTTTACAGTTACTATTTTTTTTATTATATAAATTTTTATAATATCTATTGACAAAATTACCTTCATTTTGCTCCATAAATGTATATATAAATTTGATGACATGAAAATTAAATTTGCTTCTTGATTTCAACAGGTCAAATAAAACTTCATTTAGGAAAACTAAAATCCTCCAAATGACTTCCTTCCATCATTTTTTAATGAAATGTATAATTTTTTTTTTCCAGACAACAACTTTAATTGGTTTGCTAAAGACTGCACGCCTGCTTCGACTGGTACGAGTAGCACGGAAACTTGACCGGTATTCTGAATATGGTGCTGCAGTTCTAATGTTACTTATGGCAACATTTGCTCTCATCGCCCACTGGCTGGCTTGTATTTGGTACGCCATTGGCAACGTCGAGCGGCCCCACCTACGGCATCCTGTTGGTTGGCTGGATGAACTGGCCAAACAAACTCAACAGTATTATTCACCTAATAAAACTCACAGTGGTCCTACAACCAAATCCAAATATGTGACTGCTCTTTACTTCACATTTAGTAGCCTCACCAGTGTAGGATTTGGCAATGTATCTCCAAACACAAACTCAGAGAAAATCTTTTCAATATTGATAATGCTGATTGGGTGTAAGTAATTTAGATTAATTTTCCTTCATTTTTTTAAAAAATCTGTTTTCTTACTTCAGATATTGAAAAGCTAACTTTAAAAAATTAATACTTTTAAAAATCATTAATAGGATAAGGCGATAAAAAAAACTAACTACCAACAAATTATTTTACAATAAAGTCTTCTGCTTGTTGTTGTAGATTTAATTGTCACATCTTGAACATTTTTTTGAAGTGGGGAGTATAAATTTATCTGATTTCAGGGGCATAGATTTCTTTGTTAATTTGTCAGTTGCTTGTTTAATCCCCTCTTACATGTTCCAGGTGTTGCTGATGTCTGAAGCTTGTTGGATGCTAGCTGACATTTAGAGCCAGTAGTCATTTGCATAGCAACATGGATTTTGCTGCAAGCATCTTTCAGAGCTTGTAGATTTTGCTGGCTAGATTCACGCTTGAATCAAACCAGCATGCTGCACTTAGCATTGTTGACTGGCTCTAATGTGGAGATATTATTCTTAAAATAGTCTTTATTCCTGTGCCTCTGCTTTTCATAAGTTGAGACTGCTGCATTGTAGATGGTGTCCTGAAGAGAGTTCCATCTGTCTCCCACATACTGTGATGAGTCACTGAGAAGGGTTGCCACAAGTCTCTCTAAGAACTTTTTAGGCAACCATGCTAGTGTTAATTCTCAATTGGAATTTCTTTAAATAGGATTCTTAGGATTTCACTTTACCTTTGAGGAGATCAGTGAGTGGTCATATGGTAAGCCCTGGTGTTTCAGACATCGTTTAAGATTCACGTCTGGTGATGACTAGGTCCAGCTGGTGCCAATGATTTAACCTTGGATGTTTCCAGGATACTTTGTAGAAAGAACATCTAGTTCTAGAGATATGCGTTACACACAATTTGTGGTAGCAGCAGAACTCTAGGAGTCTTTGGCCATTCCTGTGAGAATTCTCTCTATGACGCCTGCTAGAACTTCAATTATATAGAGAAAAGTGTTCCTAACAGTGAATCCCTGCATTCATTGATTCCTCTTCTCTGCCAGAAGGTGTTCTTCTTTTAGAGATCTACTGTCCAGAAGTCATGTTTCCTGTAGTGTTACCATATCAATGTTCAGTCTGTTTAGCTTACAGTCGATCACTGCAGTCTTGTGAGCATCATCAATTTCTTGAAGGTCATCATGGGTCGCACATTCCTGCTTGTAATATGATAAGCTGGATTTGTTCCTTTTCCCTTTTACTGTTTGTTTGGTGCATGGTTATCAATCTACTTGTTAAGCTTCAGACACACCCACTGACACATTTTTTGAAGCTCCAAAAAAATAATGGATCTTAAGTTTAACTAAAAAAAACAAATATTTAATATGGATAATGCATAAAACTACAAGTTTGATTTCATATGTCTGTATTTAGCACTAGTTACAAAGAAATGTTTTGTAACTAGAGGAATTGAATTCAAGTACCTCTAAAATGCATTAACTTAAAAAAGAAAACAAAAAACTTAGTGATAGTATTCATGTTAAACAGAGAAGGGGTATTTTCAAGGGAGATAACTCTTAAATGCTAATAATAGTGTTATTCATTTACTTATTTGTATATGTTTAAAAAAAAAATCTGGGCCCCAAAACTGACTTCTCTTTTGTACACAATACACAGAAAATAGTTTAATTCAATGATATTTTTTCCATCACATTTTTTCTCAAAAAATGATTCAATGGATCATGGGTGTCTTGTTAAGTCATCTTCTAAGGATTTGTGTGATAGCAATTATATCTTCTAAGTATTGTTTGTAAATACAGGAATCCCTCGATTAATGCAGCTACTAATGTGTACATTCGTAATTATAAAAAAAATCAATTTTTAATTTCTATGATTAAACTGAAGAATGTTTTACTGCACTAATTGAGTATTATGTATGTACTAATTGAATTTTGGTAGTTATAAATTTTAGTGCACTAATCGAAAATCCATTAATCAAATGTGCATTAATCAAGGGATGCCTGTATTGTAAATTATTAAATTATTCACATACATCGATTAAGAAAAAGCTTAAATAAATTCAAGATTCCCAAAAGGCCAAGTTAAAACAATTATCACTTAGACAGATCTATCCATTTACTTATGAATGGTAAAAAATTTTGGATTAAAAAAAATTTTTCTAAAATATTCCAGGCAAATTCAACCATAATTTTAACTTCTATAGAAATTTGTTTGTGATTTTTATATCATCAAAAGGAGAATATTCATTTTTGTGAATAAAAAACAAAATTGATGTAGTCAATGACTAACTAAAGATTTATTTCAGACTTTATTAATCTTTTAAAAGTGGTGTTGAAAAGTTATCAATCCAATCTACTTCCCAAAATCACAATTTTAATAACAAAACATTAGAATACTAATTTTGGGAAGAGACTTAGGCCAAGAATTTTGCAACCCCTCCTCATAAGAATTTCATTTGAATAATATAAAAAAATGTTCTACAGAAGATATTTAAAATAATGTTTCGTTTATTATTATTATTATTATTATTATTATTATAATAATAGTTCATATGATTTTGTGTTATTGGTTTAATTTGTAACAAATGAAAGTTAAATGTAAAACTAATTATCAATATAACTGCATGGGTTTTAATCTCTTGATTTTATTCATTTATTTATTTTGCAGCTCTTATGTACGCAAGTATCTTCGGTAATGTTTCTGCAATTATCCAGCGTTTGTACTCAGGAACAGCTCGCTATCACACACAAATGCTTCGGATTAAAGAGTTTATCCGTTTTCACCAAATTCCCAACCCTCTACGTCAGCGGCTTGAGGAATACTTTCAACATGCCTGGTCTTATACAAATGGTATAGACATGAATATGGTAAATACTTCATTCAGACTTTCAGCCTTATGCAGCAAATAAAATAAGAAAGAAAAACATTTAAAAATCCTTCCCAAAATTTAAAAGATTTCAACAGTACCAACAAGATTTAAATTTGTATATCTCATTTATAATAAGACATTTGTTCTGTAATTTAAATATTTCACACTCTGAGATCTATAAATTTATAAATATCTTTATGTAAGATTTATAAATCTTTTTTCTTTTTATTTTACATGACTTTTAAGTGACATATTTACATATTTTAAGTGACTTAAATTAATAGTTCTGTTTGAATAAACAGAACTATTAATTTAAGTCACTTAATTTTAAAAAAAAAAACTTTAAATTACTTTAAGAAATACAAAGAGATAGGGAAAAGTTTTCCCAATAATTCTGATATTTGGTAAGATTTTGGGAAGTGAACTTTTCTGTATCAACCTTCAACATACAAGAGGTACTGAAAAGTTCTTGGCCTGACCTAGAAGTGCCCCTCACCTCACCCCACCCAAAAATCTGTTTTGGTCATTTTGTTTAATTTTTGAAGTAGGTCAGGCTAAGAAATTTTCAGCACCCTCTCATATATATTTTTGTAACTTTTGATATAGTATATATTTAGTATTTCTAGTTATGAAATGGCTGAGTTCTTAAGTTAGAATACTTTGTATTTCAATAAAAATATATTTCATCTAGTATAAACAATGAAATAAAGTATATTTCTTGCTTGTCTATAATTTCCAACTGGACTTAAATAGTTTTTTTGCTAAGTAATCTTTACTGAAAATATTACCAAAATAATAATGTTACAATTTTACTTTAAATTATTTTAAATAAAATTTAAATTAATCATTTTATTTTAGGTTTTAAAAAGTTTCCCAGAATGCCTTCAAGCTGATATTTGTCTACATTTAAACCGAAACCTGCTCAGCAATTGCCCAGCATTCCAAGGTAAGAATAATACATTCTCTCATTATTCTGACTGATTACATAGCAAAATCAAAGCAGTTTTACAATTTTGTTGATTTTATTTCATTATTATGTGTTTAGGTGCAGCTATCTTGTCATTTGAATATGCAAATAACTTAAAAAAATAAACTGATACCAAAAAACTGTCTCTTCAAAGAAAAAACTTACAATTTCTATTTAAAAATTATGTTATGTCATAGTATGGTAATATAATGAACAGTTTCCACTGATAGTTTTGAATATACAAAAATTTCTTTTATTTTCAGGAGCGAGCCCTGGTTGTCTGAGAGCGTTATCAATGAAATTCAAAACCACACATGTTCCACCTGGTGATACATTGGTACATCGAGGGGATGTACTTACTGGATTGTTTTTTGTATCAAGAGGTTCAATAGAGATACTTAAAGAGGATATAGTTGTTGCTATTTTAGGTAAGTCAAATGGTATAGCTTAACCTCAAGAAATATCAACAATTCATTATGTCCTACATTTTTGTTCTGTAGTTTTCATCTTAAAATTATATGAATGGATGGTGGAGATAAATTTACCTAACTATCCCACATAAACATTGCTATACTCAAGATACAGTAACACTTTATTTGTGGATGAAATCTGACAAGTACATGTATATACGGTTAATATTTTCATATTTACAGAATTTAAATTAGACAATAGTTTGTTCATGCAGCAAACCAAATACATATTAAAAGACAAAAGTAAATTCAAATTTTAATAGTTGACTTAGTCATGCCTTGCATCAGTGATGTGGCTAGGTCATGATGTATGAGAGAAATAGAGGTCTACAATAGATGTGCAGTCATTTTGAGAGATTTGCACCAACTAGCGATAGTAGCTTACATTTTGCACCTCTAGCTAAACTGTTATGTTACATTTTAACATGTTCATCAGTTGTAGCTGAATCAAGGGTGGATAATTAAGTTTTGTAAGTACACACTGTTTGGCAATTATGAATAAGCAGAAAGAAATATGGGGGAAAATAACACAATTACTAGATAGTATTATATCTTTTTTTAATCATTTCTTTCCAAGCAAGGCAATACTGCCACTAAGATGCCAGAGGCTACTGAGAGTGAAAGAGAATGAGAAGACTTTAGTGGGGAGAAAGGACAATAAAAGAACAAAATTTCAAAGAGACAGAAGATGATGATTGACATTGCATTTAAATTTTTGAAGATCCTGGGTAGCAGAGAAGCAAGAAACCAGAAGAGAGTTCCACAAGCAAGAAAAGAAACTTTTAGCATACAACTTATGGTTACACTCGGCCATTTCAACAGTAAAACAATTAGACTTATCTAATAGTACACTTAAATTCATGTGGTTGAGGTACCAAGAAAGAGAGCCCATTATAACAAAGGCCATGAAAATATTTGTAGAAATGCAGAAGGAAGCTACATCATCGTCACAGGAAAGTTACTAAAGTTAAAATGCCAGGTCAGGAACATTATGTAGAGCAGGAGCATTAAACCAGATATTGTAGCAATATTAATGCACAGATGAATGGTAGATTTATAAATGTGCCAAGTGGATTCTGTCAAGAAAAATTGTCTAGCACAACACAGTAAACCAACTTTTCTAGCAACAGATCTTGCAACTGATTCAATATAATCATCTCACTTCATGTTAGTGGAAGGTGCAATTAGATGCTCTTCTGGAGGTTAGCATCAGTCATGCTGTTTGAAGACAAAAATGGTTCTCTATGACTATTAAAAGATAGCAGTTTTGTTTTGGAGTTGTTAAAATTTACAATTTCCTTGAGCCAGTTAACAACTGATTGGAGGTAATTTTTGAGAGCAGCTGCCACTTTTATTTTGTTCGATATATTGGACTTACTATTAAAACAGCTGTGTGTCATCAGCATAAATACCTAGTTGAGGACTGATATCAAGAAGGTTGTTGAAACATGTAGGTCCAAGGATAGAGCCCTGAGGGGTACACCCATATTAATGCAAAAAGATCTAGAAGAGTGACCATTCAAGATAACTGCTTTAATGTGAACTGATCTAGAATCATGGCTGTTCAACCCAACTTTCATTACACAATTTAAGAACAATTGGATTAAGTCAAACATTTGGCCAAAAACATCATAGCCATTCAGCTTGTTAAGAAGGCCAGTAGTTTCAAAGTTTGAAGAAGCCCATCCTGTCAAATGCCTTTAAGCTACAAAAAGCCCAAGCCTAGCCATTCTTATCTAAATCTTGATAGACAAATTCAGCAATAAACATTAACACATTGGTGGTTGGCATAGAGAAATGATAGCCTTTAGTAAGAATAAAGAACAATAAAAGAAAAGGATTCAAGATGAAGATGGCAATTGACATTGAATTTAAATAACTAAATTAACTGAAAAGTAGCCATGTTAAGTGAGATTCTTAACCAATTCAGAGCCTCTAGTACTTTGCCAAAAGGAGTTAAAGGACAAATAAGAAAATAATGCAAGAGATCAGACAGTTCCCTGTTTTTATTTTTGCCTTTACTTTTGTTAAAATATTTTTAAACTAAGTGATGCTAATAAGGTGCTACTCTGAAATGGTAGTTAATTCTCATTAATGTTATATATGTCATGATTTAAGCTCATTTTATCTGTAATAACATCCACTTTCCCAAATTATCTTTTTAGGTTATTTATAACCCCTAATGAAGGAATATTCTATCATTTTTTCATTAGTATTATAAACCAATCTTTTTCTTCCTCCTTTAATCAATTTTTCTATAAACTTTCTCATCTTTAAACATATTTTATTTTAGCTTCCTTTTTCAGTCATATTTTCTCTTCCATTTTTAAATCATTATTTTACTTTAGTATTTTAAAAATTATGATGCTTATAGTATGCTAATATTTTTTTCAAATTCCTCCTTAAAAAATGCAGATTACTTCTATTCAATTATTATCAAAATATGTTCTTTAAAATTATTTCCATAATTTGTTCTTTCCTTACTTGCTTGGTTCAGTGCAAGTAGTTTTAATTCTATTAGGCCTTCATAGATTTTTTTAAAGGTAAACATATTACAGATGTTGTCTTAATACATTCTTCAGTCAATAAATGTGGGAACTATTCATAACAGAACATTATAAACACTAAAGCAGTGCAATGTTGGAATTGCTTATTTATAGTAAAACTTTAGTATACACTGACAAACCATTACTGCAACTGGTACAGAAACTAACATAATATGTACTGTACTGGATGACATTTATCTACATAGCTGGCCTCAGGAAAGAAAATGGTTAATTACACTCTTGTAGAAATTTTTTTTTTTCTGCAGATCTGAACATTTTTCTGCCCTTTTAACATTTTCAGAGCATTTGCATCAGACTACCTAGACTTTGTCAGTGGAATGGCTTCTGTTAATCTGTGAGTATCACAGATTTTACAAGTATTATACTTGCAGCTACAGCTTTGTCTTTTATCTATTGGACTCAATCTAGGTGGCTAACAAGCTAACATTATTTTTATTTTGCTTTAAAATTGTTTATTTTTAAACATTATACAAGACAGAACACTTGGTGTTGTATGTCTGCTTCAGTTTCTTGCACCCCTCTGCAAATATTAATTTCTGCTAGTTAATGTGAATCTGAGTTCACAATTTATAAATTTTTCCATTAACTGATGATGTTTTCAGTACTTGATGCTTATCATTAAATTGTGTATTCATGTATTATTTGATTTAGATTCTTTCATTAGTACAATAAACATGTTCTCATAACATTTTAATAGTTAAAATACAAATTATTTTTAATGTGAGTTTATTACTTTCAATTTAGATTTTCTGTATTAAGACTTCATTTGTTTTTATCTTACATATTTCTGGTTGTAGTTGATATCCTGTTTGGCATCAAAGAACCAAATGTACCTGAAATCAAGTTGAAAATTATGTAGATAATGCAAAACCTACAAAAATGAATAACTGAACATAACTGAACATGATATTTATTAGCCAATCTATTTTTCAAACCAGCTTCTACCAATATGACTTATTTCAGTTTTTATGCTTTGTTCACAAGATTATTCCAAACAGTTATATCAGTTTGTTTATTGGGAAATCTAAATTTCCATTTCATGTCTCAAGTAAATCAAACTTATGGAAAAGAAAAAAAAATTAAATCAAAGCCAAAGCTTTAATTTCAAGTTATTTACAAAATCTTTATCATACAAATGCCATATCAGTCTTTTTCAACTAAATATATACGTTTCTAACTCGGACTTGAAAAGATAAAAATTCTAACTTGGACTTGACAAGATAAAAATTCCTTTCAAATATAAATGAATGCTGAAAAGTTCTCAGACCAACTAAGAAGAGAAGCTCTTTCCCAACAAAATTCTGATGTTTACTCATATTTTAGAAAGTTGGTCAGCCTCTTGTTATATTCTTATCCTTTTTGGTTATTTGACAAATACATTATTTTGTTCTCTTCAAGTTTTTAATTCATCCAACATCAACAACAATTATTATTATTATTTCTTGTTATTGATAATGTTAGATTTAAATGTCTCAGATCCTTTGTGCTTTCCTTTTCATAAAGACTGCTATAATAACAGTTAAAGTAGGAGGGAGGGTTAGATAAAATGTTTCGAAGCTTTGTTCGACCAGCTTTTTCACACAATTTCAATTAAACAATCAGCAATGGCAAAAGGTTAATAGTTAGAATTGAACAAAAACTTTAGCTATTTAGTATAAGTAACTCTGCTATTTCAAGGTACAATCCAGACAGCAATATGGTGACAACTACAGGAAATAGACCCATTTATGACTGTTGTTATATAACAGTGTTAGTCTTTGCACATATGGCTAGATATTGATATATAAGGATAAATTAAAATTATAATAACATTTTATAAAAACAATAAACAATAACAATACATAAAAGTAGATCAATATACATGCAAATATTCTCAGTGCACTCTTGAGACATAGGATAAATTATATTTTCCTTTATAGAGGTTTCAAATTTGACTTGTTTTCTTTTCTGACTATAGTTGATTACTTAAAATCATAAATGACCTTGACATTATCTTGTCCTTGTCAAATAAGGCAAAGATCTTCACTTCTAATTCCACATTTCAGACTGCCCCCCCCTCTCATGCAGTTAAAACTTAGTAATATCTCTACTCTATCACAGCCTGGGAAATCTCAAGACTTATCAAAAGCCATGACCCCCAAGAAGGTTACCAGTTCAAATAAAATTTCAGTGGTTATCATTGAAAATATTAGCCCAGATATCTCCAAGATAGGAAAATTGTTCAACCACTGCCTAAAGGAGAAATCTTTCCCAAGACTATGGAAGGTTCCAAGTGTATGCCTAATTTTCAAGAACATCCCCATCCCAATATCAGCCCCATCTCAATATCAGCCCATTAGCAAACTCATTATCATTAGCAAGCTCTTTGAGGAAAGTTGTCAAGTACCTCAACAAAGACAAACTCTTGAGTGACAAATAATACTGATTTTGATCTGCTCAGTCTACCACTGATTTCCTAACTGTCATTACTCACAGAATCAGTGAGGCATTAGACAAAATACACATAACAAAGATGATCACATTAGAAATATCAAAGGCTTTTGACAAGGTTTGGCATTGGGGGTTGCTACACAAGCACTCCAGTTATGGAATCACTGAAAGAGTTTTCTCAATTACCCAGTCTTTCTTATCAAGTAAGTACATGAAGATAACTTGTTCATGGCTGTTCTTCCAAGGCCCATGAGATCAATACAGGCATCCCCCAAAGTTCGCTTCTTGATCCAACTCTCTTCTTGCTTTACATTAATGATCTGCTTAAGAGTACCTTTTGTGAATATCTATGCAGAGGATACAATAGTATATGGGTGCACCTCTCAAAATCTAGATGACTAGAGATATGCAGCAGAATTCTCTTCTGACCTAGTTTTAAAAATTCAAAGTGGTGGCGGGGGTGAACTAGTTGGTCACATTCAGTACCTCAAAAAACAAACTTGTAACATTCTACCATCACCAAGCATCCCTGAATATTTGTCTATCCCAATGAATTGGTATTCTCTCAAAGAGGCCCCTTGCCTTGAACACTTATCCTGACTTAAGCTCAGCTCAAACTTATATATATGATCCATTGCTATAGATGTTGGAAGAATGGTACGTTCCTTGTATTGCTCTAACAAGTACTTGACTCCTCCTACAACACTCTACCTTTACAAAAGCCAAATCAGGTCAAAAATAGAATACTGCTGCTATATCTGGGCTGGTGATGCTTAGTCTTCCCTTTTCAGTCTTGATTGAGTCCAAAAGCATTCTATGTGGACTTGTGGGTGATTAATTGTTTTCCTACTTTCTCATAAATGTTGCAAGCCTCACGCTACTCTACCATTATTTCCATGGAAAATGTTCAAACCAGCTACATTCCTTAGTTCCCCCAACTCTAACCCTTCCAACTAAGAACACCACACCATGAACATTGAGGTAAACCATCCTCATTCCCTTTGTATTCCTTTAGTAAGGAGCAAGTCCCACTCGGATAGATTCTTCCCAAGATCTGTTGCTTTTGTGGAACAGAATCTTATGGTGGATGTTTTTCCAACCCCTAAAATCTTAACCTCTTCATGTCTTGGGTTAACTGTTATCTTCCCACATATTCACATAAACTGTGCTGTTTATTCTTACTGTTCACACAACAACTGACTTCAGTAACCCTCTACTTTGACTGGATCTTGGGCCTTATATAGGGTGAACATTAGTAAAAAAAAAAAAAAAAAAAAACATTGTGTGGAACTTTTTACTGACCTGGATTCTGCAACCTTTTATCAACTCTTATATAATTCCTTTACTGTAGACACCAACCACAACAAAACTATACACTATGAAACCTCCTCATGGCAGTTAGATCTCCATGTGACCAAGAACTGTGTGCACAATAATATCACATGAAATTAGCTACCTCCACTAATTCCATATACATAAGGTTTAAAATAAATTTTTAAAAATAAAAAAGCTTTCATTTTAGCTTTAATTGAAAAGCTAAAGGATTTAAAATTAACTATTTCCAGTAAGCAAAATACTCTGTAGTCTATTTCAAACAGAAATTATAGTGATTGGAATCGATTTTTCTTTTCAGTAAAATCAATGAAAACGGCCATTTTGACACATTTGTAAACAAAAGTTAATTTTCGATTTTAAAAATCTTGCAAAAATAAAATATATATTTCTGAAAGGTTATTTGAGGTAAATTAGCAAATTTAAAATTAAATTAATCTGTTTTGAAACAAATATTACTTACTTAGAATAAAATGTTGTATACAACCATGGGGTCTTGTTTTTCTGACGTGTTAATTGATTTATTGACAGCTGAATGACTACTTAATATGTTCATAGTTATGTATGGTGAAGCAAATGATAAAGTTCATATCAGGGTTTCTTTTTCCCCCATAATTGGGGAGGGACAACCCTTAAAACACATAACCTTATAATGATAGTTACAGGTTTGAACATACTTACTTAAGACAAAAACAAATCAAAATTCTTTTAAAAATATTCAGTGTTGTCAGATTGTAATAAGCTTTACAATGTATGATTAATAAATATAGTTTTACTTAACAATATTCCCTAAGTTAACACATTGAAACTGAATTTTAAAAGATTTAAATCTTTACAAATTATTCAATTTAAAATTGTAAAAAATGAAAACAAATTTTGTAAAAATTCATTTTTCATTGAAAATTTTTTTTCTTCAGACAATATTGTCTTTAATATATATTATTCATAAAAGTAATTAAAAGCTTCTCTGATTAAATAATGTCTTAGTTTTATTGTGTTTTTTAATTTTCAATTCAGGACAGATTTTTGGTAAGACGGGGGTCCAATTTTGCAAAAATAAATTGATTTAAATTCTTCAAAAAGTCATTAAAAATTATCATGTTGAATTTCTCAAGCTTTCATAAAATTAAATAAGGGTGTCAATCATGTAAAAAAAAAATATTTTTACCATGATTTTCTAATAAAAAAATTTTTAAAATAATTTCATTCATTTGTGAATGATGCTGAAAATTTCATTAAAATCTGGTAATTATTTGTTATTTGCAAGAATTTCCAAATTAATGTGTCTGTCACTGCAAAAAAGCAATTTTTAGCAATTTTGTAGAGGTACCGACATAAAATATATAAATATAAATATATATAAAATAGTCGTGGAATGAGGAAATCTTAGAATTTCAGATGTTATTAATTATTTTTGCCTATATTTTGCAAGAAGGTTAAATAAACCTAATGTTACATAATGGAAATTTTGAAACAGTCAGTTTTAATATTACTTGCTATTTATTTACATATTCATTGACTATTTTGCAGGAACTGATGATGTTTTTGGAGAGAATCTTTGCAAACACGTGACTATTGGAAAATCAAGTTGTAATGTCCGTGCTTTAACTTACGGTGATCTCCACAAGATTAACCGTGATGATCTGTTAGATATCCTTGACATGTACCCAGAATTTGCTGAGAGTTTTACTAATAACTTGGAAATAACATTTGATTTAAGAGATGTGAGTATTTACTTTAGCCACATGTAAGTTGAACCTTCAGGTTTTGAAAGTATTGTATAGATCTTTTGTAACTATTATTTTAATGCTAGCATCTGCACTTCAGTACATTCTTATAATAAACATAGAAAAGTGTGATTTCTTTTATGTTCAAAGATTGTTATCAAAATTATGAAAAAAAAATGATTAAGAGTTCTTTTATCAATGAAACAGACATTATTAATAAGATTATCTTTTTAATTTCATATTGAGATTTATTTTACTGAGTAGACTTGAATGTACTTTCAAATTATAAAATAGTAATTTTTATCAGTAATATAAAAACAATCTGTTACTTGGCATTTGACATCATTTTACAATTTTATTTTTTTACAGCACGAATTGGTTGTGAAAATGCCTCCTGAAGAAATGGAATTAGAATATGCTAAAAGACCATATTACAGAAGTAAATAGCTTATCATTATTTGTTAATCATAAACAAAAATATTTTTTTCATTGTACTAATAAAATCTCAAATACAAGTTGTAAAATTAGTATGGGTTCATTTATTTATAGTTTTTCTGTTGTCACAAAAATAGGGTAAAAATTTACATTTGTTAAGAGGGTTGAGATATTAAATACTTTATTCAATACTTTATTCAATATTAAATACTTTATTCAAACTATGAATCAAAATGTAATTATTAGTATTTGTTTTTATATATAAAGTTGTAGTAGTTACATTTGCAGAACTTATTTCACATAAACCTGGTGCTTACACATGCTTGACTGTAAAATTTGTGGATATTTGCATAAACAAGAAAATGAAATGCACTTTCACTTAACTAATGGTTGCCTAACTGAAAGAAAGTCAAATGTTCCTTTAGCCTGATATGTTCCTTTATATTAATGTTTGTTTTTCTTTCTTTCATTACAGATCGCTTCTATAAAGAAAAAATTCTTCAGGACAATTTAGAAAAGTCGCTAAATCGATCAAGTCCAGAAGTTGATGTACCTCTTTCTTTTGAGTCAAGCGATGAAGAAATCAGAGAGAGTGGAGCAGGAATTTTAGAATTTTCACCTGCCAAAGCAGGCCAAGATGTAACTCCAGCCAATTTTGACTTTCAGCCTAGGGATAAAGAAAAGAAGCAAAGTTCAGGATTTCCATATATTGCAGGTAAATTTCCATATATTGCAGGTAAATTTCCATATATTGCAGGTAAATTTCCATATATTGCAGGTAAATTTCCATATATTGCAGGTAAATCTGCATGCATTCTACATATTACATCTGTAAATAATTTTTTTAAAAGCCAAATTAAACTTTTAGGGCTTATTAAAAAGAAATTTGAAAAAAACATTGATGAATTTTTATTAAAAAAAAAATATTTTAGATTTTGTTTTATAGTTAAATGATTTAATGATTATTGATCTGGTTCCACTACAGCTAATTAAAATATATGTCTACTAATTGACAAAAACAAATTCTTCACCAAAGTAATAATAGATATTATTTAAAACACTGTAAACTTTATTTTTATTTACATTATTTACATGTGGATTATTGTCTTTACCTCTCAGTTGTTCTGCTCACCGGCCTTCAATTTCAAATTGAACTCTTTATTAATCTACAGGGATAGACTGTTTTCATCATGGATCAAGGGATATCTCATCTTGTTCTTAGCACTTCTCAGTTATTGCTTGTCCCATTTCCACTGAGTCTCAGTATACACATCACAGTGTAAACACAATATGTTAGCTGTCTGCCATCTTTATTCTAAAACCCAAAACTAAACAACTGTATTTGATGGCATATAAGACACACAGGTGTATAAGATGCACCCAAATTTCAACAGGGCAAATCAAGAAAAAATTAGTAAAATTATTAGTAATATTAGGCTATATTTATGAGGTATTATTTTGGTTAAACAAGTCATGATTACAATTAAATGAAAAATAATAGGGAAAAAAAACTATAAAAACTTTATTATATCCAAAGGTAAGAAAACAAAATAAAAATCAAGCAATTATTACAATTGAGCAAAACAGTACAGTTACCATTAAAATTCAGTCAAGAATTTTCTTTTATATGATCTGTACAACCTGTGTCTTTTAAACGTCTTAGTGGAATAATTAGGATATACAAACTCTGATTGTATTTATGCCAATGCAACTGGGAGTTATCATAGGAAAAATATTAATGAAACAAATATATTTTACAAATATATAATTTGAATTTATTGCATGTAATTTTAGTGAAACAAAGTACTAATATTAAACATGATGAAATTAATACAATGAAGATTATCAATGATACTCTAAAGTCATCTTTGAATTAATTATCCACCTTAAAACTGTTTTAATGAAACAAAAACCCTATTGGTACTATGAATTCTGGAATAAAAATATGACATAAAACAAACTAAACATGAAAATAACTTATTTTATTATTTACAAATGAAGTAATTATTTTTATGCTGACTTATTTTGTTATAAATATAATTTTTATGATTAGAAAAGTACCTACAAAAAATTGGCTTGTAAAAATGTGTGGTTTAGCAGCATTGTTAGGGTTAACATTCCATACATCTCATTTTGCAATATCAAAAAAATATTAAATTTATTGACATTAACTTTATGTGACAATATTCTGAATAAATGACTTTTCATTAATTTTGTAGTATAAAAATATTACTTTCACTCCTATTTTATGGTTTTTTTATTGAAAACTAAACTAAAACTAAATATACTATTTTATTTTATTACCTTTTAGAAGAAAAACTCAAATTACATATAAAATATTATTTTTATCATCAGTATATTAGTTGTTATGAATAACAATGTCACAGATAAAAATATTAATTTCACTTTATGTGACAAATAATGACATTTTTAAATAAGTTTCACAGTGTAAAACAATCAAGAAAAAAGCTTTTGGAAGAAAAGTCTCTGTTAAAAATTAATAAAATTAATTTTCTTGAGAGAGACAAAATAATTGGATTAATAAATTTTTGAAATTAATTTATATTCAACTTCTTTTTTTCTGTCTTTAGAAAGTTGATCATTAATGTATTTGCTTTTATGAATAAAAAAATTCAGGGAAGAATATTAAATTAACTTTAAGCAAAAAATGTTAAATTAACTTCTAAGTAACAAGACCAAGATTGCTAAATTATTCAGTTTTTTTTTTTATGAATTTTGCACAAAAGAGTGTTTTTGCAATAAACGTAAAATAATATAGCAAGTCTGAAAGAAATAAAATAAACCTTATACTTAGCTCAGTTAAATAAGTTATTAAAAATGTAAAAATCAAAAATTTCTTAAGCCAAATACAGCAGCAAATTACTGCAAACCTAAATCAAAACTAAAATGTATCACTCCCAGTGTCAGTCAGTTAAGTGGCATGCATGATACATGTTTAGGTGATTATGTGTCTTTCAATACATGACTGAAAGGCAGATTTTTTTCCTGCAGTAGGTTGCCATTTCTTTCTACAGTAGACTAGTTGCCATCCAAGGCTATAGAACCTGGTCTGTCCTGTTATTTACCCATAGCTGGAGGGAGAAGAAGATGATTCATATCTTTCTCAAGGGTATTAGCACATAAGTGAATGTAATGGATTTGACTGAAATTCAAACTCAGCTCCCTAATTCCTCAATCTGAGCCACTATCCATTACTCCACCATTCCTCCAATATATATACATATATATATATACATACATACACACACACACATTATATATATATATATATATATATATATATATATATATAATGACTAAAATTAAAATAAATGGAAACCTGACAAAACTTGCAAAGGGTTGATAAGCCATAGAAAATAAATCAATCAATCAAACCTGACTTAAAAAATTTGTCAGTATCTTAGAAAGAAAAAGTTGACATTCTATGTGCAAGTGATATACTACCAACTGAGATTTGATATAAATGTAAACAAGGAAAGACATAGACATGAATGGGGATAGCAGACAAAAATGGTCTGAATAAAATAGCATCATTGAAATGGTCTGAATAAAATAGCATCATTGAAGCCAACCATATATGACTGCAATATGTTGATGATACCATCAGCCTTTGGCTAAATCAGTAATGGGCACTGTGCACTACTGATAAATTATATGAATTCCATAAAACCTTTCACTGATTCACTATGTAAAAGGAAGATAACAACCTGGCTTTCCTGGACAACTGATATAAAGCATAAAATCAATATATCTTGATACAATAAACTAATGTTTATTTGGCAATATCTGAACTTCAATTCTTACCAACCAAACAATGGTAAGAGGTCATTTATTGCTTACAATATCAAATAAATCAAAACCCAGCTTCTTATTAGTGAGAAATGATTTGTATAAATTACATACTTCAAAGAAATAACTACCTGATCTGCATAACATCAACATAAACAGAGATTTGGAACAAAAGCTCTAAACTAATAATTGTCATGTTTTATGTTGAAGACAGTATGGAGATGTCAAAGAATCTGTAAGCTATATGACCATCAGGATAATATTAAGAATTGGTCATATTCTATACAACCATCTCATTAAGGTTAAACTTACCTCAGGTGAAAATATAGCAAAATATGTTTTTTACCCCATGCAGTTATAGCAGCCAATCATAAATATAAGTCTTGAGGAGTAGTAAAAAAGCTATAGTCTGTGGAGAGACTATGAAATAAGGGTGCACATAAACTCCTATGGATGAAATTGATAAAAAAAAAAATACACTTGTAGATGAAGAATATTAAAAATCATGCTCTGCCCCAAAGTCCCAATTTGTAAGTCTAATATATATGTGAGCAGCTTTTCAGTGGGAAAAAAAGAAAAAGTTAGTTAGAGAATAAAATGTTAGTAAATTCATTTTGTACTTTGGGAATTATGAGTTCAATTTCATTACAGGTTTACATTACAGAATGACACTCAAGAAGAAAGTTGAAAATTATGAATTCAGAAATCTCTGTTAGGAGAAAATAGGATTGAAAAAAACCAATACTTATATAGATGAAATACAATTCTCTGAAAGTTATTGAATCAGAAAAATCCAAGGATAAAATATAAGAACAATCAAAAGATTCCCCATGTAACAAATTGACAATGAAAGCTCTTGCATCAACCTAATAATAATATGTTCTATTAAAACCTTGAATACAGGTCTTAATGAGGGATAAAAAAACATATTTACAATTAAATATCTTCTATTAATAGTGTTATCTTTTAAAGATGGTTTATCCTAAATCAGCATTTTGCTGGAAGTATTTGATATTTGTTATCTCTGTGCTTTCAGGAGCGCTGTCAAGTGTAAATACTCTGGTCAATGTAGTGACAGGACGACATGACTCAACTAAAAAGAGCCAAGAAACTGCTCCTTTACTCCAAGAACAAAGTGCTAGTCCAGAAACACAGGTAATAAAAAGTTTTATATTTAGCACATCTTGTTATTTTATATACCTGTCACAGTTTTTTTTTCTTATCACTATTAACCTTACTCTATATTATTTCTCAACATGTGTATATTGTTTACAAAGGGATTTATAGCCAGATTACTTTGCTGTTGCTATTATTAAAGAGAAAAGAAAAAAATAATTAAATTAGATTTTAATGAGCTCTTGAATATTTTAATTCTCTAAATGTACAGAGTACATCATTACTATCTTTTATCTAATTCACATTTTGGTCTTCAACTCAGTGCACTAACATGCCAAATGTCATAAGATAGCAGTAAGTAATGGTAGGTTGTGCCACCATACTTTGATATAATAGAAATGTCCAAACTTATAGTTGTACTTAGACATCTGGTGACTTTGTGTGAACATCAACAAATGTTGCTCATGGCAAGCGCTATATGAATTATTGTCATTCAGATCTTCATGATAGTGTGTGCCAGATGGATGGAATATCTGAAATTGTCAGGACATTTATCCTCCTTTGATCTACAGTATCATATGTGCACAAGGAATACCTGATGGAAGACATTACTATCCACCATGGACAGTACAGTGGTTGACCATTTGTCAAAATGATCATGACAATAGGCAACCGGTTAGAATTATCTGTGGTAACAGAGGGTAATACTGGCTCAGATTTCATTCACATTCATTGCAGGAGGCACCACTCACATGTTCAGTAAGACAGTTCATCATTCTTTATTTGGCAGAAGACTCACCAGGGCTGCACCTGTTGAATCTAATCTTCTAAAATTTATCCAATAGTACTCAGTCTTAGTACTAGTAAAATCAGCAAGTGGTATCAGTATCAAGTCTGTAATGAATTATAAGATTTCTTTATCTTATTATATCAATAAATCCATAGCTTTATTATGTGAAAAGCATTTGTTTTGCACAAATATTTATTTTCTAATATAGTCTACTTCCTTGTCAATGCACTTAATTTGGTGCTAAATATTATTCAGTGAAAATTTCAGATGAAAATTTAGCTAGTATCTACCACTCGTCCTTTCAGCCCCTCAACCTCCGGCGTCTTCCTCTTTGGGTTGAGGCGCCCACTCAGTCTGAACCCGAACTCAGGGGTAGCTGGCAAAAATGCTCCCTGAGTACCTGTGAATTTGTTCGACCGGTCACTGGCCAAGTTCCGCATGCTGCCCACATTGTGTTAGTTTTTTAGATCCAGTATGCGGGGTGTTGTCCATACGTTCACGATCGATTGGGGAATGTATTTATTTATGGCTGTGAGGGTGGGCGGCAGGAAAAAATTAAATATGGCAAACAAGGAAATAATATCTGCAGAAACCGAACAACAATGGATAAAATATTGATGTCTTTTATATAAGAAAACAACAACAGTAGAAAGGGTTTACAGAAAGGATAGAAAAGCAATTAACATCAGAACAGAGGACCACTCCTCTCCCAATTATACCAACAGAGAGAGGTGTGTGTGTGATTAACTCATTCCAAATCAACTTGGGAGGATATGTGACTCGTAATTCCAGCCCTATGTGGAAGTGTAACTTTTCAGTTAGTTGTCGTAAGTGACAAACGTTAAGTTTCAGTGACTTTTCAATGTGACTGCTACAAAAAACAGATGATATTTCTTAAAGTCCTTATCTCTGACTCGCCACTGGACCGACTCACTGCAACGACAGTCTCTCTCTCTCAACGTCCCTCTCATCTATTGCCCAAGTCTCCCCAACTCAGCAAAACTCACGTTATACAGCAAACCGAAGGTTATAAGCTAGGTTGTTCCTGCGCTTAACACAAATGTCACCATAAGCAAAGTTTAAATTCAGATCTATTTCAAATCTCTTAGTGGATAAAATTAATTAGTTCAATGTTCATTTCAATTGTCTTTTCGATGACCAAATTCAGCAGATACAACTTATGTTTAGATCAGATTTCGCTAGCGGTAAAAATACACTGATCTTACCTCCCCGGTCCAATTTACTTCAATATGTTTTTATAAAAAATATTATTTACGTCTATTTTTTTTTTTAATGACCCAAATTAAACATCGCCTCCTGCCCTTTTGCATTTGTTTATAAACAAGTCCTCGCCAACCAGATTTGAAATTTATTCTTTATCCATCAGCCGTCTCAGGTTTCATATATCATTGTTCTAGATTCTTTCTTATTAATCGCGCTGACACAGTTTGTAACTTTCATGGAAGATCGTGTTTTCCATCTTCAATCAATAAACATTACATTTGCGTGTGTGCATTCATGTGCATCAACCTCTCTCTGTTACAGTAACTACATGGCAACACATAAGATTATGGACTTATTGATCAACCCTCATAATTTATGTTATCCCACTGATATTTGTAAAGTTATATATGAGATTGTTTTCTACATACTCTTTTAGTAACATAGAATAAAATAAATGTATATATTGTTCAGGGACATTATTTTAATTTTCTGTCAGTATGAAGGTAGTTCTTTATAATCATTGTTTTTGAACCAGAAATTGTTACAACAGTAGATTTTTTTATTGGTATTTTCTTTTTTAAATTAAGCATAAAGTCACATCATCTTCAAGTGTCCCCAAATCCACATCCAGTATGACTTTACCAGTATCAACATCATCAAGCCATTCACAGTTTGATGAACATCAGGTCCCCGGTCGTGGAGGAGGAGGAGTTGAAGTTCAACCTGTCATGATTGGACAATCAAGTCCAATGGAAGTGGAAAGAAGATTGGAAGATATGACTCGGTTAGAAGCCATTTTTTTTGTTTGTTTCTTTTTAGTAATGTTTATTGATTTTTTTCTTTTAATAATTTGCAGTCACATAGTTCAATTACGAAAGTATCTCTTCTTAATATAAATATTTATCATTTTATTTCTTGTTTAATTTTTAGTAATGGTCAATACAAAAAATACCAAACCTTAAATAATGTTTGCATGTATAAGTATATAATTTGAAGGAGAAATATACACACAGACAAACAAGAGATGCTTGTAAGGTTCATTTTATACATGGATTATATGTTAAATAGTTTGTATCACATTTTTATAATGTTCTTATCTTTGAGATCTTCACCAAACAATGTAACACTTGGAACTTGGTCTCTTGCAGCCAGCTGTGTCGTTTGGAAAAAAAGATGAGCTCAGACATATCAATTAATCCTTCTGAACATTTTCATTTTTACCAATATTCAACTGCTGCAGTAGCAGCACCTGCCTCTGTTGGACTCAGTGGGAGTGGATACACTTCTTCATCTCACACTCCAATATGTGGCAATGGCACCATGCCTAGCACTCAAAGTATATCTGCCATCACAGAACCAAAAACAACAACAACAACAACAGTAGGAAGTGGCTTTTCAGTATTCCCCAAAGCACCTGAACAACAACCACAACCTCAGCAGACAGACTCTACTGTGGGTAGCAGCAGTGGAACCCAAGATGATGATGTATTCCAGTTCCCACCACCACCTCCTCCTTATTCAAGTGACGTTCAGGTACGAGAAAATAACTTAACTTATTTTCATCAAATCTTTAAGAGTAAGCCTGTATTTTGTTCTCTGAAATACATAAGAAATTTATTGGTTATACTTTGGAGATGATATACTATCAATAGTATATATACATGATGTACTACAAATCATTGTTAGTGGATACTATTTACATTACATATTGTCAACATATTTATTACGCTCCGGCCTTCTTCAGGTGGTTGGAATGTTGAACTGAACCCTTTATTTCGCTCACTGTCACATGCCATGTCTAATGGATGTCAGTTATCTCCTGTTAATTCCCTTTTCCAAGTTCTCAACCGCCTTAACCAGGTATTGAACTCACACTCTTTGGGTCCTGTCCTTTATCCACTGTGTCATGTGTCCTTGGGGACATCTGTGTATGAATTTCTGGGTATTATAAACCTAATATCTTCCGCAACCATTTTTTTACCAGTTCTCATATTGCAATTTTGCTATTATCAGTTCATATTTTTACCAGAGCTCATATTGCAATTTTTGTTGTTGTTATCGCTTTTCTCTGGCACTCCTTGTTATTGGTTCCCATATTGTATTCATTTCTATGCTTGGTCGGCTCAGGAGATTTTGTGGCCTAGCATATGTGCTGATTCCTTAAGTTTACTGAATTTTCCAATGGTATTCTTTGTCTATGATCTCAACCTGATCCCCCAAGAGAAGGTGGTGATCTCCCTTTTTCTCTCCATATGTAGTCAAAGACGCCTGATTTTTCCACTTCCCTATGTTACATTTTCTGGTGTTCTTGAAGCCTTACCTTAAATTAAATCTATGGACCTATCTCCCCTTATATTTCTTTCTGCAGCTGAAGAAGGCCAACAGAAATATACATAGGCTGAAATATTGTAATAAATATAAACAAAGATGAGGACAATAGTCCGAATAATGTAAATAGTGTGCATAATACCTCATCTCAGAAATATAGACAGATACTGAAGGATTGGTACGGACCTGATACACCGAAAATATGGAGACAAATTGAAAAATCGTACAAGAAACTGGAACAAATATCGAACCATCTGACATTCCTACACTGATGCAGAGATCTGCAACTCATCCCTTCAGGCTTGGCACCAAGATTTCCTATCAATTCAATGAGAGCCTGTCTGGTCATAGAAAAAGCAGGACACACCCTTGTACGAGAGAGAATCCAGTACAATCGTTGGATAAAACAGAGACTACAAGCTCATATCTCCCAGAGGCTCGAGGATTTCTTCAACAGAATTATCAATAAAGAAGACCAGAGAAGAATCCAAAATGACCTGGATAAATCCTTCAGACATGAATTCGATGTAGTCAAGGCTCGCCAAGTACAAAAATTAAATAGATTGAAAGATCAGATGGTGATGCACAAAGTCCATCACCCACCAGTGAAAGCAGTAATCAACATCAGCCAATATCAGCTGAGTGCCTCTGAGGAGTCAGTATTGAATAAGGGTCTCAACTTCACCACAACCATCAGGCGAGTGCCATACTTGGACATCATTGCCAGAGTTGAGGACTTGAACTTCCCTCAGGCTCAGGCAGATGAACTGAGATAGAAGGTGAGACAGACCTTGGAGAAGGCCAAGCCACCCAGTTCAAACATCATGAAACTGGAGAGGCTGGCAATTGGATCCCTACAGAGGAACAAAAACATCATCATACTACCGGCTGACAAAGGCAATGCAACTGTAGTGATGGACAAATCAGATTATACAGGAAAGCTGGAAGACCTCATTAGCAATGGTAGCTACAGCAAAGTAAAAAAGTATCCTACAATGAAAACAGAATGCAAACTGTCACAGATACTAATCAAGAACAAGGATCACTTCGTACATAAAATGTATAGGCAGTTATTGCAGCATTACACCAAGCTAAGATTCACAAAGACGGTATTCCACTCAGACTGATTGTTAGTTGTCAAGGCTCTGTGTGCCATCCTTCGAGTTGCTTCCTCATAGATATAATTGACCCATTGAATGGAAAGTCTCCTTCATATGTCCGAAACTCTGCCCACTTTGTGGAAATAATCAAAGATGCTCCCATCCTATCCAACTAGATGGTGAGCTTGGACGTGGTGAGTTTGTTCACCAAGATACCCATGTAGGAGGCACTCTCAGTAGTCAGAGACAGATTGGCCTCGGTCTTATCCCTAGAAGAACGGACCAGTATTCCAATAGATAATCAGATGGAGATGTTGACTTTCTGTACACAAACAATACAGTTTGGAATGGGATCACACATATATCGACAGGATGAGGGCTTAGCAATGTGCTCGCCATTATCACCAGCAATGGCAAATATATACATGGAATACTTTGAGGAAATGGCATTAGAATCTATATCTCTAAAGCTAACTATATGATTAAGGTACATAGATGACACCTTCATACTCTGGCCACACTAGGAAGATGTTCAGGTTCTACTGGACCATGTGAACTCAATAAGACCTTCGATACAGTTCACAATGGAGAAAGAGAGTAACAACAGACTCCCATTCCTGGATGTTCTAATATCACAAACAGAGCATGGGTTCAACACATCTGTATACTGTAAACCAACATTCACTGGACAGTACCTCAATTTCAAGTCCCACCATCCATACAGTGTAAAGAAAGGGATCATCCGCTGCTGATAAGTGGCGACCCAGAGATGTTAGATAAAGAATTGTTCAGTATAAGTAGTACCTTACAATGTGACAACTACCCTGGGTACATGGCTGCAGCCCCAAAAATCTGGTATAGGCAGGTACAAGAGGAGGACAAGAACACTCAGAAAACAGTCTGCCTGCCTTATGTGAAGGGGTTATCAGAGAAAATACAAAGGATCTGCAGTCTATGTAACATCAGGACAACTTTCAAAAGCTGGACGACACTTCGCAGATTTCTCTCCCAAGTAAGACCCCCACCCCGATAGAAGAGAACATAACTAAAGACAGTGTGTACGCTATCCCGTACAGCTGCGGAAAGAAATATAAAGGGGAGACAGGCCATTTCAAGAACACCAGAAAGCTGTAACACGAGGGGAAGTGGAAAAATCAGACATGGCTGACCATATATGGAGAGAAAAGGGAGATCACTGCCCTCTATGGGATCAGGTTGAGATCAAAGGCAAAGAACACCATTGGAAAATTCGTAAACTTAAGGAATCAGCACATATGCTAGGCCACAAAAATTTCCTGAGCCGACCAAGCATAGAAATGAATACGATATGGGAACCAGTAATAAGGAGTGCCAGAGAAAAGTGATAATAACAACAATAATTGCAATATGAGCTTTGGTAAAAATATGCAATGATAACAGCAAAATTGCAATATGAGTTGCTGAAGACATTAGGTTTATAATTGTTGTGTTTATGATACACCTAATTTACATAAGTGGAGTACCGACCATATAAATATGGGTTGGTACCAGGAAGACGACCCAAAGATTAAGAGATCGAATCCAGAGACTCTGCCCGACTGCGACTTAGTCAACCCATTCTGCAGGAACAGTCTTCCCAAGAATATACCAAAACTACCTGTAAATATTGTGTACCTTTTTCATTGTTTCAATACATTTTATTACGTACATTTTGTGTTGTATTATTATTATTCCATGCTTATTCAAGCTTCAACAATGGCGGCGAGGATGAGATGCCTATCTCCAAATTCCCTTCGAAGAGGAATGTTCGAAGTTACTAATTAAACACGCATAGAAAAAAATATTCAAGTACAAAAGGCTTTTTTTGGTATTAAAGTTTGACCTGCCATTTTTCAACAAGCTATGGACGTCATGCTGAATGATTTAGACTTTGCGTATATAAATGATTTAGACATCATCATAGTAAGGAGCGAATCGATTGAAAAACATCGAAGCATCTCAATCAAGTATTTAAAAAATTCAGGACTTTGGTTTAAAGTCAAAAGAGTCAAAGTCTTAATTTGGTTTGGAGGAAATTAAGTATTTAGGGCACATAATCAACAAAAAATGGCAGATGTCCAGATCCGGAAAGGTCCATTGCGATTAGAGACATGCCGACGCCCACTAATGTAAGCGATGCTACAAAATTTTTTTAGGGCTTGCAAATTATTATCAAAATATCATTAAAGGAATGTACAATTTAAGAGCTCCGTTGAATGAACTGCTAAAAAAAAAGACAAGGCATGGGAATGGACGGTAGAATGTCAGAAAGCCTTGATGAAATAAAGAAAATGCTTACGGTCCGACCTCTTTTTTAACCCATTACAATCCAAAACTGGATATTGTAGTGGCAAGTGACGCTAGTTCATACGGGATAGGGCGTGTATTCAACACATAATGCCAGATGGTTCGAGAAAACCAATTGCACACGCCTGAGAACTTTGCTCCCAGGAGAAAGAAGTTACTCTCAGATAGAAAAAGAGGCACTGAGTATCATTTTGCCATACAAAAATTCACAGGTACATCCACGGCAGACATTTTATCCTTGAAACGGATCATAAACCACTGATCACCATTTTTGGTTCAAAGAAAGGGTTACCCGTTTATACAGCAAATCGTCTGTTAAGATGGGGAACCATTCTTCTCAATTATGATTTTCACATAAAAGCACCTATCATCCAAAAAAATAATTCATGCGGATAGTCTATCAAGACTAGTACCGAGGCAAGAAGAAAGATTCAAGAATCAATTATTGCAAATATCAGAACAGATTATGAGGTGAAAATCATGGTAAACAACATTGTAAGAGAGCTACCGGTTCTAACAAAAATGAAATTAAAAAAATATTTTTTGAAAAATTTATGATTTCATTTTTTATTCATTAAAAAAAAAATGGTAGCAAATGACCAAAAAAAGTGCAGGAGATTTATTCAATAGGTGAAGGAGTTTTATTATATGTTGAGAGAGTAGTAATACCAAAAAAGTTGCAGAAAAGAATACTTGGGACTTTCATATGGGTCACCCGGGTATTAATAGAACAAAAAGCTTGGAATGGATGTGGATATCGAAAACATGGTTCATTGATGTAAGGGGTGTGCGTTAGCAGCTAAGGCACCACCTATAGTATACAAACCATGGCCCAAGACGGATCATCGGTGGACAAGATTACACATTGATTTCGCTGGTCCAGTAGAAGATTTTTACTACTTAATAGTGGTAGATAGTTTTACAAAATGTCCGGAAGTACTACGCTGTAAAAAAAAAACGTCCAATACCACAACAACTTTTTTGCATGAACTATTTGCACAGTTCGGTGTGCCAGAGTGTATTGTGAGTGACAATGGTACAATTCACTTCTGAAGAATTTAAGGAATTTTGTGAGTTATATCAAATTAACCACATAACGACGCCTCCATTATCATCCGAGGTCTAATGGACTTTATTACAAGATTTGTCGATACTTTAAAGTGCTCTGAAGAAAGCCTCAGGAGTTCCAACGGAAAAGGCGCTTCAGCAATTCTTATAAGTATACAGAATCACGCCAAACCAGAGAACACACTCAAACATGGCACCAGCTGAACTAATGTTAAACTAGGAAAGTTAAGTCAGTGTTTGACAAGCTTTTTGCCAGGAAAAAATACAGTATAAAATACCATGTATACAGCGAGAAAAAGATACACTCCTGGAGAGAAGGTGTTTTTCAAGTGCTATAAAAACAACGTTGAGTTCTGGGAACGAGGCATAATGGACAAGAGAATCGGTGACCTGATTTACATAATTAAAAGGCGAAGAATACTTATAAAAGGCACCAAAACCAACAAAAAAGATTACGGTATAGAGCAAGAAGAGTGTATACCGGATGAGGATTTCTGAACCCATTGATATAATGTATGATATGTTTCAGGTAGAACCTCCACAGAATACACCTGAACCAAGAAGATCCGGTAGGAAAAAGAAGTTGACGGACCCATTGAACGTGAATCCAAAACGGAAAAAATATTAAAATTAGGCAAATGGATCTACAAAGAAATAGCCATAATCATCAACCCATATAATTTAGAATTTGAAATCCAAAAGGGATTCCAAGGCTTGGGAGGAGGGTTGTGTATGATACACCTAATTTACATAAGTGGAGTACCGACCATATAAATATGGGTTGGTACCGGAAGACGACGGAAGATTAAGAGATCAAATCCAGAGACTCTGCCCGACTGCGACTTAGTCAACCCATTCTGCAGGAACAGTCTTCCCAAGAATATACCAAAACTACCTGTAAATATTGTGTACCTTTTTTCATTGTTTCAATACATTTTGTTACGTACATTTTGTGTTGTATTATTATTATTCCATGCTTATTCAAGCTTCAACAATAATAATACCCAGAAATTCATACACAGATGTCCCCAAGTCCAAATAATGTAAATAGTGTACATAATACCTCATCTCAGAAGTATAGGCTGATATATTTCTATTCTAATCATCTGATAATGTAAAGAAAATAGTTAAGGGTCATTTTAAAAGCTACTTTTAAAAGATCACTTCCAGTTTTATATGGTAACTTTTACAATTAAGATTGCCATTGTATTTAAATGTCATTGTTATCATGCAAGACAAAGACAGTAGGATTTTTACTTTTTTTTAATTGTTGATGCTTTTAATCTCATGATTGATAATGTCTTTCTTTATCCTTTCTATTTTGTCTTTCCTCTAGGATTCATAGTGAGTTATACATTATAACTCTTTCCTGCAGGTATGTTGCCTTTATTATTCACATTTTTCATCAAGTCAGCAGGTATTTCTTTTTTCTCAAATTTTTAGTAAAAAAAAAAAAAATGTATATTTTTGTTTTCCTTACTAAATTTTTATGCTGATGTTTTCATATTTATGTCTGAACTGAGTTTTTAACAAATAATTTTATAATGTATTTTAATGTATTGTTCATTCTCCCTATTGTACAACTTAAATTCTTTCTGAATTCCCAATCTATTTATTAATATAAATCTAATTTCCAAAGTTATGTTTGCCCAGCAAATTTTGCTCTGAATTTTCTAAAATGATCTCCACTTAGCATACAGTTTAATTTTTTTTTCTTTTTTTCTTAAATAAAAGTACAATTCCTATAAAAAATTGAATATAGTTGAAATGTTTTATCCTGTTAATACAACATATAATCTAATTACTATTTATATCAATGTTACCTTAAGTTTTTAGAATACTATAAATTTGAAAATGTTTTTATTACTATGCCTTCTCATAAGTGTTTGTCTAAGAAGTTTGAATTACATACTATGAGTCTAAAGTAACACATTATTAGTTTGTGATCACTTTAAGTTAGGGAATTTCTTTGCAAAATAAATAGGAGGATAGTCTCACTTGAAATGTGACATACCCATTTAGTTTACTTTTGTAGAATTTCTGCTATAGTTCCCTTAAAAAAGAGTTGATATTTTGTGGCTGTCACATATTTTACTTGAACAAAAAACAATTGAATTCTTAAGGAGAGGAGCTTTGATTTCAAATAGGTCATCTAAACTAATTTAGATTCAAATATACAATGGACTTCATCTTTGACTTCTCAAATTAAGAATTATTTCTTTTTTACTTCCTTGTTTTTTTTTTGCACATCTTTATTTGACAAAGTCATTCAGGAATGCTTGTTCTTTGTACTAATCATTATTGTAGATCTGTCAACATTTTCTGTCATTCATTCTTTTCACATGGCCAAAGAATGATAATGTCTGCAACTCTCCAAAATATATTTAAAAATTTAAGATAATTCTTGTTCTAGCTACATGACAATTACAATTACATTAGTACATCTGAATAATCATTGCTCTTGATTATTGCAGATAGTCATTATGGATATTATAATAAAATATATTACTTGACTTGAAAGAAATATTGGCATACATTGAAGAAATGTTTGAAACCAAAATTCAAGTTGAAATAATACTCATTATAGTTGTTGATTATAAGGAAAGTCATAGACTTGTTGAAACTGATGTACTTAATAGTAGATGCTTAATTAATACAATAAATTCAATGGAAACTGGAATGTTAAAAGATTACAAAGCAAGTATTAAATTAAAAGAAAATGTTAACCCCTCTTATTTTGAATCTCACAAAAATGTTAATCATATTTTGACCCTAGTAATTGCAAAATTATGAAAAATGGTACATCAATGCATTTTGCAACATGTTCCTACTGGTGGAAACAAATAAGCATTACCAATAATTGTATTAAGAAAACTAGATAGTGATTTATATTTATCTGTGGAGATTATAAAATTTGATGTAAACTGTAAGATCTGTTCAGATTCATATCCTATTCCAAACATTGAATCTGTAATATGTCTTCATTGGAATTATTGGACACATCCAGATTTTGGCATGGAATATTTAGGAAAATAAATGCACACATCACAACTAAAAAAATTAAAATTATAACCTTACCTTTATGTGACATTTTCATGAAGAAACACTTACAGTATTAGCACAAATTATACTACTGGTATTTGTTTTAATAGAAAGTTTAATTACCAGGACATGTTTTGGAAAAGAAGAATTTTAGTCTATTTCATCATTTATTTATTGAAAATTGTTTTAGTTATTTTTCAAGGAGCTATATCTGTACATGCAGTAAATTCATAATAGCTACAAAAAATCTACTAGTATCAGTGAACACATATGGTAACTGGTAAAAAACAGAAATATGATACTTGTTAGTAAATATAGTCCCATACAAAACATACAGAAAAGCAAATTCCAATACCTGTACTTCAACAAAAATATGCACAAAGAAAGCACCAATATAGCAGTCAAAGCAAATATTTCTGTAAAATTTCATATTTCTACAAAACGAGCAGCAAAATAACATGCAATTCCATAACTCTGAAAGCATTTCTGTAGTCCAGTATTTATGCAAACAAAGCAAATATGAGTATTTCAGTAAGCATTGGTACAAGACAAGAAGCAAAAAACAATACTCTAAATTTGAATGAAACCTTGTAATGCCAGTACATGCATGCACAAGAAATACCAGTAATTCTGTAAAAATTGGTAGAAAGCATTCAGAAATAAATTTCAGTGTCATGTTCATGCATGCAGTAAAAGCAAACATGTTACTTCAGCAAACAACAGGGGAAAAAAACCGGTAATATAAACTGAAAATACATTGAATATCATTAAAAAAAATACAGGTCACCCATAAATACTTTACTGATCATCATAAAAACCTAGAAAAACATCATCTTCAAAGTCAGCTACCAGTAAATCATCATCATTTTCAAAACCTGAAAACTGATCACTGCTGTCATCGAAATGAGTCTCCTCACTCCTGGCATCCTGTGCATCAGAAACTGAATTGTCACACTGTCTTCAAGCAATAAATTATCTTCAGTGCCATCAAGTGCTCATTACTAATACCACACTTTTTAAAATGATTTAACAATTATTTCCAGTTTTATTATATCCCACAAAGTTTTAACCCATTTACACACTTTTGAAATACTTCTTCCTGACAGTGTCACTTCAAAATCAGAAGACTGCATCCATTTGTTCTACTCCTCCTTCATGAATCATTTAAAAGGCTTGTTAATATTGATATCTAAAGGTTGCAGCTGGCTGGTTAAGCCTTCTGGAATTACAGCCAACTGAGTTTTCAGCTGTCTAACTTTGTTCATAACAGCCTTAGTTCTGTGACATCAAAACTGATCCCAAGTCAGGTTTCTTTAAGAGCTCACCTGGATGCCTAGACAATTCTTTTTCTATCCATATTTTCATCCCTTCTTCGTCCATCCAACCTTTGGGATGGACATGAACATAAACTCCACTTGGCAATTTTTTCTTGGGTAATGTCTTTCTTTTAGAAATCAGAAAAGGTCGCAGCTTTGTGTCATCAGCATTGCATGATAAGACAAGGAATTAATACATTTTTTCTCAGCATTAATGACAAACCTGTGGAATTGAATGATTTTATTTTCATATTCAGCTTCTGTGATATTTTTGTTCTAGCCCATATAAATAGGTTGTTTCTCCTCATAAATCTAGAGAACCGTGATACTGAACCTGCAAAACCATTGGTACCCCTGTTTAGTGTTGTCTTAATTGGTTTAATATCATTTTTGTAGAAACTGCCCTGCCTAAACTTCTTCAATTTCTGGCCATTTTACATTTTCTCTACATAGATTGTGTTTACTACATTTAGCATCTTTCAATTGTTTAACTTGTTTTCTCCAAATTTGTGTCACTTTTTTGGTTGTTGGCAACCCAAAGTACCATTCTGTTGGCCAATTGCTAATGCTCCTTTGTGTACTCAATGATACTAAGCTTATATGGAATCTTATAATAGTGTTTGCATTGGTTTTGAGTTTGTGACAAAATGAATTTAAAATGCAAGAATATTGTAATTACTCTACCTCTGACTAAACAGTAATGGAATGTGTCACTTGTTTGTTTTGGTTAAGACAACTAAGAAATATTCAAAATATTTTCTATTTTCAGATGAATACGCCATACCACCAGGCCGTGATGACTGATGATATAAGGTATCGGTAGGGACCTGTGGTGAACTTAAAGGTGATGGCAACTGTTCTGCCTCCCTTGTCCTCTTCTTCCTTTGGGGTAGCAGCTCCTGAACTCCCAGAATATTCACATGTATATTATAGTGTGGCAAATAGGAGACTTGTATCCCTGCTACTGGAACCACAAACACAGCCAAAACCACAACATGGTTTTCTGTTGTGTTTGTTGTTCCATCTGAAAATTACAATACTGAGCCAGTCAGCATGAACCTACATGTGCAATACCTTCCCATTCACTAACTTTTTGTGTTCTTTAGTCTCACCATCATACTACAATACCAATATGCCTAACTACTGATCACATTATTTTCATCAAACAAAATACTAAAAGGTGACCAAGCTGAGGTATACCTTTCTAGGTGACCTCATGAAAACCCTGTTGTGTGAATTCAATAGCTGATACAGTCAAAATTTTGTATCTCGTGTCAATAGTTTCTCTGTATATGTTTCTGTGTGTGTATATATACCAACACATTTATTCTCACACAGACAAGCATTTATATATGTTGAAATAAATATGTGTGTGTGTGTGTCTGTATATATATATATATATATATATATATGTGTGTGTGTGTGTCTCTGTATATATATATATATATATATATGTATGTGTATGTGTGTATCTATATATATATATATATATATATATATATATATATATATATATATACAGACACACACACACATATATATGTATATATGTGTGTGTATGTATGTATGTATGCACATATATATTCAATTTCTACAACAAAAAACAATTATTAAATTTTGATATTCAGCATTGATATCCCGTGCTTCACACAACAGTTGAAAAAGTTTTCAATAATATTGGCTCTGAGAAACTTGTAGTTGCTACTAGTTTTAGTCCAACTTTATCAGAGCTTTTGGATAACATAGTATTTTCCTTCCATCCTTTTGCTGTTGCACCATAAGGTCACATACATAATTTTGCTCTATTTGCAACACCACTAAACTCAACAGTGAAATTCACTGGTAGCTTTCTTTGCCCAACTATCATTGGGTATATTTTTTCCTTTACCTTCCCATGGACAAATGGTTTCTACCACCACCACCACCACTTCTACAGGATAATGCTAGCTCACAGATTCCAAATTTTGAAACTGAAGAGCTTTTTTCACTCAACATGCAGGTTCAAATGTCTGCTGCAAAATGAATTGTTTCTAAATCAAATATATGGCTCTCTGTATTATTTATTGCTTGGGAAGGAATTCTTCTTCATGAGATATATTTTCATATTTTAGTAATGGCTGTTTTGTCCTTGAATGGTTTCCTAACCTCATATTAATATTGACACTTTGAAAAGAACCAATTCCTTTGTGGCCAGCTCATTCACCATTGTTAATGGTAACCATATTTTTGAGGAATTGTTATCAAAGAATGATTAAAGAAATTTTGAGACTAATTGCAAATCAAGATTGGCTCCTCAGTAAGATAAAACTTTTTTTATGATTTTAAATAAACTATCTTCCTTTCAATCTACTGAAAAGAGCATTCAGCCAGTAGTTGTATGAAGAAAACCAAGCTTTTATCAGTTGACACAAAAATGAATATTCAGTTATGCAAGTAAGGAAAAAATACACATGCACATTATTGTTACTTTTGCTATGATATTATTATCATTATAAATACTACTATTGCTATTACCATCGCTAGTACTAAACAGGTATGGTGTATATACTTAAATACTGCACCCTTTCAAGAAGAAAGAAATGCAAAATGGATTGGGTTATTTATGAATCTATGTCTTCCTGAGGGTATATACAATTCCCAATTCACCAATTTCTGGAAATAGTAGTAATACAATTTTTTTAAACTTGATTTTTATTGTTAATATGCCTATTATGGTAACTTGGATTTTGTTATCTCAACTTAATCATCAACATCACTATCATCACCATCATCATCATTAAAATTATTACAAGTGACTTTTTTATGAGAGCAACATTTTAGGATTTGATAAGTTTTACATTACCAATCCTGTTGTAAATTTTTTTTTCTGTATTCAGTAGAAGCAGTTTATGTTTGTAATGTGAGTTTTTTTTATCTAAAAGATTTAATACAAAAATCCAAATAAGCGATGAAAACATTTTTATCTAATTTTGTTTGGAATTATAACTTGACTGATATTAGTAGAAATATTTCTGATTCCTGTAACTACAATTATAAAAATCATAGAATATGCCACTCTTTATTCAATTGTTTACAGATGCTCTATTTCCCCAGTTGTTATTTTTTTCAGTTTTATTTATGCATCATAATCTTGATTAATGAAAATGTTATACAACTTTTTCAGCCAACATTGTCTTTCCTCAAATAACAAAATATTTAGCAAAATATATTTAGTCTTACTAAAAGGAAAACTAGCAATAAAAACAAATTTTTTTAATATAAAGGGCTTACTCACATCTGTAAAGAAATTGTTTCTGTAATTAGTTCTTTAATTACAAATATAATTGGTAGAGTTTGAAATTATGATCAAGTAAGTTTTAGATAAGATGTTTTACATTTGATATGTCGATATAACATTTATTTAAAAAGTTTGCTGCACTTGAAACAAATCACTATATTGGTACATGTATACACTAATCTTGTTCAAACAGAAAATAGCAGATCTCTTTACTATTAATGATAAGAAACCATATCCTCAGACTAAGGAGTTATTGAAAAACTATTTTCAATAATTATTACATAAGTGTTTAGGATATTGAGCCCATCTGCTTAATTACAAAACATATTTTTAGTTATGTTAATATTTCTCTTTTTAATCTGAAATGTGAATTATAGCATTTTAAAAAATTTAATTTCTTTACTCAATGCCTATTCTTCTTTCTTTAGAACTGTATAAAGTGAGTATTTATTTCCTTCCTCAAATAAAATCCTTTAGAAGCTTGAATTAATTATTTTTTATAATCTTGGGGTGATAAAGCATTTACTCAATTATAGAGCTGTGTTGATAATTCCCCTTACCACAAAATGATAAATTTGTATTTTTAACCTCATGTTCTCAAAACTCTTTCCAAAGAAATTATATTAAATTATGCTTGTAAAATTGGTATACTCCACTGATCATGCTTAAATCTTTTGAGAGAAAACATCTTGAATATGAGGAATAAAATTATTATTTATCATAATTTATTTAAACCTAACAGTTTTCAAAGGAATTCACTTTATAGAGGTTAGCATCAAGTCATTAACAATATGACAATAAAGTTTTTTGTTGTCTTATGCATTAAATCAATAAATTTTAAGAGCACTGAGTTATTATTTAAGAAATGTTATTACTGATCATTACTGGGCTTTATTTCAGATTGTTGGAGGTTCTGTTAAGAAAAAACATAGAATATATGATGAGATAATCTAGTACAATTTAAGTGTGTATTTAGTGATTTTAATATTCTTTCACATTATGTTTTATACAGCTTACTTCACAATCACATGAGAATATCATTAACCTTTAGAATGTAAGATTAAACAAATTATTAATATAAAATCTGCTGTATAGATTCATTTCAGTTTTTCCTCTCAAAAAGTTAAATTACAGTAACTCTTGGCTCATTCGTCAGGAAATACAGCATTTATATTCTGTTTCTTTAGATGTCCACCATTTTATAAGCAACATAAACTGCTGATACTCTGCCTTTACCCAAGAACAAAACAAACATTTTTTTGTTTTTTTCCTCCTTTATATAAGATTTGAATATGTGCAAATCTTATAAAAAAAATGTTTTAAAAATGTTTTAATATGAAAATTGAAGTTGATTTTAAAAGGCAAACATATATAATAATTTAGTGCCTATTCTTTGAAAAATAAATTTCTGCTATTTAATGTTTATTCAAGAACAAAAACAGGGAAATTGAATCATTCCATGACATAGTTTATTATTAATATTTTGCAAATAATTTGTTACTAAAGTTTTATTGGTTTTAATCATTTTTGTTAAGGGCAAAGGGTATCGTATTTTAAGTGTGATGATTGGTGGCGATCGATGTTGTGGTGTTAATGATGTTAGTTTGTCTTTAGTATGATTGTAAGTATACTGGCCAAGTGATCTGGTCAGATGTAAATCCAGTCCAGCTCATCAACCTTAAGCTACAATTTTACAGAGTTCAATCAAATGAAAGATTATTGAGGGAGGACATAAAAAAGGTGTAAAAGAATTGCAAGGGAAATTTAACTCTGGGAAATGCTTTTGATAAATAATAAATAATAAAGTACTAATTAAGTTTTCATGCTAAAAGCTGTGCTTGTTCTTCTATAGAGATTGTAACAAGTTTTATAAAGTAATGGATATTATACTTACCTATATTTTCAGTGAAAAAGAAATGTTTAAACATATTTCTGATCGAATCTCTTTACAACAATCTGCTGTAATTAATAAACCAACAGATATGTTGGATATGGGATGTGTTGAGATTTATATTCATGAAGGATCATTTTACAGAAAGCAAAAATCCATTATTGGCCAAGACATTATTTCTGGGGGAAATCATTTGAAATTGCTTAACCATTTAATCCAAAACCTGCTACCAAGGATGCTAGCCTATTCATCATCACTATTGATGTTTTTTTTTGTTTTTTTTTTACCAAATCTTGGAGACTGTATATGTCATTATCATCATCACCACAAACAATAATGAGTTTTGTTTCCCGCCTTTGTCCTCCCTCAATTCATCACATTTACACTTCACCATTCCTTTTGTCTGTTATTTGGTACCAGTAAGGAGACATTCAGGAAAATACATTGGAAAGTTAAATTATATCATGTCCAGCCACAGGTGTACAAATACTTTTTCTGTTATGTTTACATCTGGTTATTTAAATACAGAAATTATTATTTCATATTGGTATAACTGATTAATACTTATTACTTTCCTATGATTTAAAGGGAAAATATTGAATGTG